ACTCATAATTTATATTTAGATCCAAGAATAGATTCAATTAAAACAAGAAAGCTTCAATTTTTTTTTTTTATATAAGATTCGAAAAAAGGGAAAGGGGAAGAAGGGCGGCAGCCACCACCGGCTGCCGGCTGCTGGCGGCGGCGGCTGCCTGCTGCCGGCGGCTTGCGCCTGCTGGCAGCGGCGGTGAGGGGGGGGGTAGCCAAAAGTTTAAGGGGAAGGGGGAAAAAGAAAAAGGAAAAAAATAAGGAAGAGAGAGAGAAGTTTACCTTGGGTTTTCTCCACTCTGGGCAAAGTTTGATTTGCCTCATAAGTGGGATATTTATACCCCTTCTCTACTAACCCTCTTCTAGGTTTTTCCTAATTCCTTCCCTAATAAAACTTGTTAAAAATTAAACTTTTCAAAAATAAAACCCCAACTTTTAAATAAAATAATTAAATGAACTTTCCTTTAATAATAATATTAATTAAAATACTTTAATAAAAATAATTACAACTATTCAAATACTTTATAAAATACATACTTTAAATAAAATGGGTATAAAAATACGGGGTATTATAGTGGGTGGGTGGTGGTCGCGTGGGTGGAGGCCGTGGTGGGTGGGGGTCTGGTTTGAGTTTTTAGCTTTAAAATTTTGTTGTTTATAATTTAAGATATGATTTTTTTTTTACACAAAAGATCTGAAATTAAGTTACTTATTGTTGTTTATTTTTTCAATTTATTGTTTGGAAGATACGGTTAATCTGGATAGGGTGGTGGTGGTGGTACGGGTTAAGGTGGTTGGTGGTGGTGATACGGGTTAAGGTGGTTGGTGGTGGCGGCTGGTGGCGCGTGCGGTTGGAGGTGCGCGCGGCTGGTGAACAAGAGCAGCATCAGTTGTAATATGCTTGAATTATTATTTTTTTTAATGAAAATGTAATATTACAACAATTAATTAATAAAAATATTAATGTTTTTGCATATATTATGTTTGTGTTTCAATTTAATTGGAAAAACTAAAAAAAAAAATTATTTTTTATACCCATAATGGGCAGCGGTTTGGCGCCGAAACCGCTACCCTTTCACTACAAATGGCAAGCGGTTCAGAACCGCTTGCCATTTAAAAGGCTAATGGCAAGCCCCCCAATGTCATGCGGTTCAGAACCGCTTTCCATTAGGGGGTTTGAACCCCTTCCCATCACGTTTATTCTACTAGTGGAAGGAATGCATTTTTCACATCTAGTTGATGTATAGACCACTTCTGAGCCATAGCCAAACTGAGAACTGTACGAATGGTCACCGGTTTTACAACCGGACTAAACGTCTCATCACAATCTACACCCTTTTCCTGCGGCCTACCATCACAAACAAGATGAGCTTTGTGCCTTTCAAGGTCACCATTAGAATTTTCTTTGTGTCTCCATATCCACATACAATTTACAATATTCACCCCCGTAGGCCTAGGTTGCCGTTTCAAGAGCATAAAACCAATAAGAGGGAGGGAGAGACGCATGAAACATAATTGTACGTTTAATGTTATTAATCGTACGAATCATACGTTCGACTTTGCCATTTTGGGAAGATGTGTGTGGACACGAGAAACGAAAGACCATCCCATTTTCAATACATTTTTGCTTAAAAGGATCATTATCAAATTCCCGACCATGGTCACATTGAAAAATTTTAATTTGACGCTGAAATTGAGTTTTAACATATTGTCGAAAAATTAATAAAAGATTGGAAGGCTTGGGATTTGAATTTGAGAGGAATGGTCCACACAAAGTGAGTAAAATCATCTAATAATACAAGATAGTATTTGTGACCTTGGTTACTCCGGATTGGAGAGGTCCATAAATCGGCATGAATTATATCAAAGGCACAAAGAGTATTATTATTGGAGTTTTCAAAAGGTAGTTTAACATGTTTTCCTATTTGACAAGAATTGCAAAAAATGGAGTCATGCTCCTTATTACAATTAATAAAGTTTTTAGACCTAAGAAAGCTAAAAACTGGGGCTCCAAGATGTCCTAGACGACTGTGCCAAGTAGTTGGTGAAGTGGCAGTGAGAGTGGTGGCAAGACAGGTTGACGGAGATGACTTGGTGGTGGTGACTGGATAAAGATCCCCCGAGCTATCACATCTCGTTATTATACTCCCCGTGCGAAGGTCCTTCACAGATAAACCAAAAGGGACAAATTCAACGGACACAAAATTATCAGTGGTGAATTTTCGGACTGACATTAGGTTTTTTATGATTTGAGGGGCTAGGAGTACATCCCTAAGGATAAGAGGTGGTTTTGGGTAAGGAAGGGTGCCATGACCATAACCGGTAACTAGAATACGACGACCATGACCAACTAAAATATGATTTTTAGTGATTAAATTAAACAAGGGTAAGAGATTACCAGAATTATTTGTCATGTGAGAAGTGGCACCCGAATCCACGTACCAATGATTGTCTGGGTTCGGTAGAGTCATTGTCGAAAACGACGAGGCTAAGTCATAAAAAGTTAAAAAAAAAATCACCAAGTTCATTTTATTTTGCAAAAAAAAAAACCTGATTACTTAATTACCCTCTAGTTTACTTGATTATTCTTCAATTTCCTCTAATCCACCTAATTGTTCAATAATTAACTTTAATTTTTTTTTAAAAAAAAAAACACCACCAGCCAATTATCTCCTCCCTCATCGGTCCCCCACCCCTTGCGGCCTACCTCCATTGTCGGCTGACTCTTCTTTTCCCCCTTATTTCGCCGGCGACCACCATCTCCATTCAAAATATTTTTTTCTCTTAAATAATCTCATGCTCACTACCAAAATTTGCAAGGATCTTCTTTGAAATATTTTTTAAAAACATCATAAGTGAAACACATACCCGTAATTAATAATTTGTAATATTTATCATTTTATCCAACCAAGAACAAATTTGAATGATTGATATACTTTTTTGTTCATATATTTTGTTAATGTTTTTTTTATAATTATCATGTATCATGCTTGTCGTAATATGAACATAAATACAAATGAAAATTAAACAAGGTTTGATTGCAAAAAACAATTATAATATTATTTGTTAGACAAATATCATTACATTTAACAAGGTTTATATCATACAAACTATTTTAAGATAATTGTTGAATATATTACATTTAACAAGATTGATATTATAACAACATGAAAATTCTCTATTATTTAGATTTGTGGATATTGCACGCATAAACTAATTTTAAAATAATATAATAAAAAACTCCATAAGTTATAATTACACATTATTAATATTAAATTCAATAATATAAATATTAATGTGTGCTTTTTTAATAATGCAGCTTGCAAATTTTGGACTGGTGCGATTTGCTCAAGGAACATATATACACATCACTATTGTCGTCAAAGGAACTTTCGGGTATGATTTTCTTTACCTCTATCATCCTATTCAAAAGCAAGATTACTTAACAAATTAATGAAAATTATGATAGCAGAGAAATGAGAATAGGAAAATGCTTAACTCTATTGTTACGGATGATGATTCGGTAATGAATAATTACCTAAAACCTTAATATATATATATATATATATATAAAAAATAAAAAAAAATAGGGCCACTTTTTTTCTTATGACTTCCTATCTCTTATTGCTCTAAAAGGTTGAAAAATTGCGATGATAATTTTTTAAAATACCATCTAGTATTATATGTTAGACTATATCGACAATGGCTAAACATTGTAATTAACAATAAATTAGTTAATCAGTTACATATTTTACGCCTCATAATTTCGTCAGCAACATTATGATAGCAAATTAACAATATCACCAATTCTCAAAAGCAAGTTTGAATATGAAACATTGTGACATTGAGAGAATACATTACACTTATGTTTATGTATATAAAAATGTTTATCCAGTATGAAGAATTATAAAACATGACCCTAACACATAGAATTCTCCTACCAAAGATATGCTTAGAAAGGTCTTTGCCCTATAACATTTCCAGGAGGATAATAATAGCAAGTAATAAAAGTGCCTCCATTTTGACATCTTTCTTTGGGCCTGTTCACATTTAATGAATTGAACTGGATTATTGTTGTCAAAGGAACATATATGCACATCACTACTGTCGTCAAAGGAACTTTCGGGTATGATTTTCTTTAGTTTATCATCCTATTCAAAAGCCAAGGTTTCTTAACAAATTAATGAAAATTATGATATCAGAGAAAAGAGAATAGAAAAATGCTTAACTCTATTATTACGGATGATGATTGGGTAATGAATAATTACCTAAAACCTTTAATATATATTTATAAAAAAAATAGGGCCACTTTTTTTTTATGACTTGTTCATTTATTTTCCTATCTCTTATTACTCTAAAAGGCTGAAAAATTGCATTGGTAATTTTTTAATACCATCTAGTAACATATATACACATCACTATTGTCGTCAAAAGAACTTTTGGGTATGATTTTCTTTAGCTGTATCATTCTATTCAAAAGCCAAGGTTACTTAACAAATTAATGAAAATTATGATAGCAGAGAAAAACAGAATAAAAAAATGCTTAACTCTATTGTTACGGGTGATGATTGGTTAATGAATCTATTAACCATTACTAAAATAGAAAGTTGCTGACATCATCCTCTCCCCAAATTGTATATGTGTCGTTATCTCATAAAAAAATTTCCCGCCAAATGCACTTATGATGTCATATATATTTTTGGCTTTTTTTCAGGAATTGAATTGGTTTTTTTTTTTTTTTTTTTTGAAAGAAGGAATTGATTTTTTTTTTTATTCTTTTCATTTCAACCTTTTGACTGTTTCAATAAATAAATAAATGTTTTTTTTGTTGATGAAAATTCATATTGAACTTAAAATTTTTAGGTAATCGGTAACTATAAAGTTTGGAGAGCTATGGGGGGTTATGGATGGCCGGAAACTGAAAACAAGCACAAAACTTAGGAGATGATGAAATCTATTAAGACCTCTTGTAGTATTATGTGCATTATGTTTGGGGATTTTAATGAAACAGTGAGTATGAATGAGAAAGATGATGGGACTATTCGACGAGAAACTCTCATGGATGCGTTTCGGGAGACTATTGATGAATGTGGTTTGAGGGACTTGGGGTATAAGGGTAATATTTTTACTTGGAAACGTGGTCGAACCCCGTATACTATGGTTCGTGAGCGATTGGATAGGTTCCTTGCTGATAGTGGGTGGTGCTCGTTATTCCCGAATTTTTTTGTTAGACATCTCCCAAGGGAAGAATCGGATCACACTCCCATTATCGTGGATACAATAAATTACTATGAAAGGGGGATCGGAGGAAGAAAAAATCATTCCACTTTGAAGCAATATGGTTATCCTATGATGGGTGTGCCTCGGTGGTTTCGAAAGCATGGAGCGATGGGTGTGGTTTGGAGGCTCAAAATAGAATTGCTGGTTGTGCAGGTGAATTAAGAAGATGGGCAGCGAAGTCTTTTGGTGATACAAAGAACAAAATTAGGCTGCTAGAGTCGGAGCTACAAATTGCACAAGGGGGCAGTGTGGATGCTTCGATGATGAGTAACTGTGAGAAGATTATTGCGAGTGAATTAGTTGAGATGCGCCGACTACAAGAATCTTATTGGTTTGCAAGGTCTCGAGCCAACGAGATGAGGGACGGTGACAAGAACACAGCTTATTTCCATCATAAAGCTAGTGCTAGAAAAAAGAAAAACACAATTAAGGGGTTAGTGGATAGAAATGGGGAGTGGTGTACTGATGAGAATGGGATACGGGCAATAGTAGGGAATTATTTTACAGAACTTTTCTCTACTAGTAACCCCACGGAGATGGAGGCAGCACTTGGGGGCTTGGAGAGATGCGTTTCGGAGGATATGAACAATGTTTTGAATGTTGAGCCAACCAAAGCAGAGATCAAAGATGCTTAATTCCAAATGTACCCTAATAAGGCGCACTATGCATGATTTATTTTTTCAAATTTTTTTGCATATTGTGGGTTTCGACATTATTACTCTTGTCAAAAATTGGTGGAGAGAGAACGTGAATATAGAGGAAATTAATAGAACGTGCATTGTTTTAATTCCTAAATGTAATGAGCCGACGAACATGACATAGTTTAGACTTATAAGCTGTTGCAATGTCATATATAAAATAACATCAAAGTTCTTGGCTAACAAACCGAAGCCACTCCTTAATGATATTATTACTGTCAATTAGAGTGCTTTAATTTTGTGCCGGGTCGGTTAATTACAGATAATGCCCTTGTTGTATTCAAAAAATTTCATTCTATGAAGAGTAGAGGGGAAGGGAAGGATGGGTCGGTGGCGTTGAAACTTGATATGAGTAAGGCGTATGATAGGGTGGAGTGGTGTTTTTTTGAAGTAGTAATGTTGAAGATGGGTTTTGGCGTTGAGTGGATTGGAAGGGTCATGAACTGTATTCGGAGTGTCTCTTTTTCTTATAAGATTAATGGAAAAGTGGCGGGTTATGTAACTCCTTCTAGGGGGTTGAGGCAGGGTGTTCCAATTTCCCCGTACTTATTCTTGTTATGTGCTGACTCGTTTTTGACCCTGTTGAAGAAAGCTGCGGTTGAGAAGAAAATAAGTGGTGCAAGGATATGTTATGGGGTACCTAGAGTGTCACATTTATTTTTTTGCTGATGATATCCTATTTGCAAAGGCTACTCTGCGGGAATATTCTATGATAGCTTATATAATCAGTAAATATGAGAGGGCATCTGGTCAGAAAGTTAATTTGAGTAAGACAGAGGTAGCTTTTAACAAATTTGTTTCGGGTGAAAGGAGGCAATTAGTTATTGATACTTTGGGTGTTAGAGAAGTTTAAAAACTGAGAAATATTTAGGCCTTCCGACGATTATTGGAAAATCTAAAAAAGCTATTTTTTCAATTTTGAAAGAGAGGATCTGGAAGAAGCTTAATGGGTGGAAAGAGAGGCTACTATCAAAACCGGGGAAATAGGTTCTTATCAAAGTTGTGGCCCAAGCGATTCTGACGTATATGATGAGCATTTTCAAAAACTTCGGATGGTCTCTTAGAGGAAATTCATACTCTCCTCAAAAGTTTTTGGTGGGGTTCGAGGGAGAACGAAAGAAAGCTACATTGGCAGAGCTGGGATAAGTTATGTCAACCCAAAGCTTTGGGTGGTATGGGGTTCCGCAGCCTCAAGTGCTTCAATGAAGCCCTTCTAGCAAAGCAATATTGGTGACTGATTTTTAACAAAATCGTTACTTCACCACATTCTTAAATCTAAGTACTTCAAAAATTCTAATATTTTGGAGGTAAATAGAGGTTTTGATCCTAGCTATTCGTGGAGAAGTATGTGGGGAGCAAAATCGGTGCTTCAAGATGGTCTAGCTTGGAGAGTGGGTAATGGGGAGAATATTAAGGTGTGGTCGGATGGGTGGCTGTTAAAGGAGGGAGTGATTTTTTATCCACCCCGACCCCCTACTGCTGATGTTGATATGCGTGTGGCTGCCCTGCTATCTGAATGTAGATCAAACTAGAATGCGGCAAGAGTAGAGGAGCTTTTTGATCATGATGTGGCTGCTACAATATTGGCCACCCCATTATCCTCAAATATGGTGGGGGATTCTATGTATTGGTACCTTACAAAGAGTGGTGAATATTCGGTTAAATCCGGGTATTGGCTTGCCAAAATGGGTGCTAGTAATGTAGGGGGCAATGTGGAAGAGGAGGAGTTGTGGAAGTCGATATGGAAGGCTCGTGGACCTCCAATCCTAAATTAAAAGCATTTTCTATAGAATGCTGTGAAGGGGAATATGGCTGTGAAAGAACGACTTTTGCAGCGTCACATTATAACTGATGCGAGTTGTCAGTTTTGTGGGGTTGGTGAGACCGTGATACACTCCTTGCTAGATTGTGTTATTGCTATGGAAATCTGGAACCTTAGTGAGTATAAGGACTTATTGAATGATGTTCCTCGTTTGAATTTTGTTGAATTGTGGTCTTGGCTGTGTAGGAAGGTGGATGCTAGTGTGTTGTGTGCTATAGCTGCGCTAATGTGGGCAGCATGGAAAGGGAGAAATATGATGGTGTACCAAGGGGAGAGGCTAAATGGTGTGCTGTTAGCTGTAGGTTTTGCAAGGCTTGTACAAGACTACAATACATATGCTGAGAAGGTGCTGCTACCTCCCTCAATTCACGGACCTGCTGCTGCTACTGTTACGAGTTAGACGTGGTCTGTAGTGGGTCGCATCAAACTGAACACTAATGCTCATGTGTTGGTGGGTTCGCTGGTGGAGTTAGGCGTCGTGCTAAGAGATGTTGATGGTGTTATTGTCGCTGTAGCAGTAAAGAAATCGTTTGGTACGACCCTTAAAATTACTGAGGCAATGGCGGTACGCTATGGTGTTATGTTGGCTGGGAGATTGGGCTACAATTCAATTGAAGTAGAGACCGATGCTGTGAATGTGGTGGCTGCTTTGAAGAGCTCAAAAAGTGGTGTATCCCCGATCTAGCTTATCTATGATGATATTAGAAACAATAGCTTGTCTTTTAATTTTTGTTCTTTTAAGCATATTAATCGTTTTTGTAACACCGTTGCCCATTTGGTAGCACGGTGGGAAACCGGATGTAACTCAAAACTTGTTCGCTTAGGTACCTTTCCCCAAAGCATAACAAATTTGGCGGAAATGGACCTGGTTTAATAATAATTGGCTATCGTTTCCTTAAAAAAAGTATTTTTTTTAAGGTTTTAATGTTATTTGTATGTGTGTGTGTGTGTGTGTGTTTTACTAAGGATTGTGCTAACAACCTTGCTATGAAGTCATGTACTAATATCAATTATACTAATATGGATGTTTGTTATACAAAAATGAATTAATGTTGTCGGTAAGTGTTATCATTGTTTTGTATTTCCAAGGTACTTCTAATTATTTAAATTAGAATTGATAGAGTATAAAAAACATAATAATGGACCTCAATCATTAGATTAAGTTTTTGATTGAGTTGGTCCTGCAATAAGGATCTTTAAATTACAAGTATTTTTTATGTTGTATTTCGAACTCTTAGACGGAGTATATAAATTCGTATGCATAATGTTTTATTAGATCAGATTGGTGTAGACACCCAAATGTGTCTCCCCAAAACCAAACCTAGTGATCGATACCTTTCACGTCATTTGATTATCGAACGAAATGAAAGTGTGAAAAGTCTAGTGATGAGGATTTTTTTATTAAAACATTTCTCTTTCTGTTTTCAAAAATATTTCTTTTCTTACTCTATTTATGAAAAATAGCTAGTTCAATTTGGTTTGGTCCATGATAAGGGTCTAATAATAGTGTAGTTGGATTGGGCTCGAAAAGAGTTTTCCAATGATATATTATAAGCCCAATTCCGATGAATGATGAGGAAGTTATGGAATAAATTAAATTAGGCCCAATGATTTTAAATGTAGCCCAACGATCTAGAGGAGGGTCTATTAATTATTATTCCTAAAGTGATTAGGATTGATTTTGATCTCTTAGGAAAATCTAGAAGGTTCTCTTTAATTCTAATAAGATTAGGATTGATAATTATATTTTTAAAGATGTTTTATTTTGAATATAATATATTAAATCTGATTTTAAATCTGCTTGGACGCAGAATTACTTGTAACCGGTTTAAAAGGTGATTCTGCGTGTAAAAACGTATTGTACTTTTGAATCAGTGCGAGATGAAAGAGTCGTCGCATGGCGCTGATCTTCGTCGCTTGGCGATGAGCCTGTCATTCGGCGCTGACTCTTGTCGTTGGCGGCATGAGGTATTTTATTCCGATATGATTTTCTTTGATCCCGTGTGTGCTATTTTTCCTATAAATAGGGGTCGTATTTCCCTGTTTTCAAATCATCTTCACCAACACCTAGAGTTCTATTCTCTCTCTCTCTGAAATCTAGAAGCTTCCTCTCTCTTTTCTTTTTCTAAACCTTCCCTCTCTCAAAATTCCTCATTCATTAGTCCTAGAAATACCTATCCAAGTTCGAAGTTGCCTTCGCCCTAGACGTGAAAGGTTTGATATTTTTGAGGGTTTGGTACCTAATCTCTATTTCAATTATTTAATTTAATTGTTTTATTATTTTCATTGAAATTACCAAAGCGTGTATTTTGTTAATAGAAAGAGGTACGAGGCATTGAAGTAAGTAATTAATTGTTTTAATTTATTGATCTTTTGATATAGGAATCATGCTTAGCTTATTTTATTGATTCCTAGTATCATGTTAGGATGTTATATTGCTTCCTAGTATCATGTTTAGGGTAATAACTAAAATTTCTAATATCAAGTATGTTTATTATGATGCTTCATATTTCTTTCTTAATATCATGTTAGTATCATGTTAGGGCTAATTGATCTTTAATGCCAGTGACATGCTAGGATTTGTTATTAATCTTGTTAATATCATGCCTAGGATCTTGCTAATGTTATAATGCTTTGAGATTGACATGATTATGATTATTATGATTATTATGTTGCTTGGTGTTTATTATTGTTATTGCTTAATCACACCTTTTATGCATGTTTAAAGGGAATTTAAACTTGTAATCACGCTTAATATGATAATTAATAATCTTGTATAGGCTAATATGATTATAATTCAAGTGATTGCCAATAATAGTTTTGTTTGTGCATTAATATTCAACCAACATATATAGATTAAACAGGTTTGGGGTTAACCTATTGATTGTATGTTAGTCAGAATGCACAATACGAGGAATAAAGTAGAGGCCTATTATTAGAGCAGGTTCAATCTCTTTTAGGTTGGATTTTTACCTTCATCCCCAAACTTTCAGTCATGGTTCCAGACCTATTGGAGTCAACGATCTCATGGATCGTGAAGGGGTGTAACATTCACCCTGTGAACGGTTTACAAGTTCCTAAAACTTGTTGGCAACTCTTTTACTCTAGTTTCCTTCCCTTTGGACGTCACCATGCTTAAGTGTATGATCACAGTGGGGCTCAAGTGTGGGATGCTTGAAATATTCCCTACAATTGGCATTCATTTTTATATTTTGTTATATCTCATGTAATTTATGATGATTGATATGTTTTTATGATCTAATTAATAAGTATACAGGTAAATAATAATAGAATAAACTATTTCATTTCAGTAATTTTTGCAATCCGTGCATCGCACGGGTCTGATCTAGTATAAACTAAAAGGACACACCAGCAATGACACGTGTCATCTTCTGATGTGTCCTCAGTGTTTTTTTTTCTTAATTAATAAAATTTTATTAAAAAAATAAAATCTTATCAAAAATAATTCCCTTATCTTTTTAAAATAAAAAAAATTAACATATCTTTAGGACAAATATTTATAGCTATAAAAAAATATTCATAACATAATTTGCAATACAATCTAAAAAAAATATTCATATTATTTTACCAAAGAATATTTGTCTATATAGTCATTGATTAGACGCCATAATTTTTTCTTATAATTCTACTACATTTAAATTTTTATATTCAAATCTATTAAAATACTAAAATATTAATATGTTAATATGAAAATAGCTCCAAATTAAACGTATACAAAACTATTAAAGTAACAAACCACTATTTTGTAAAATTTTACTATAGTAAAGGTCTGTTCACTTCAGCTTAATTTCATTTCAATTCAGTTCAACTCCAATCAGTTTAGTTCAGTTCAGCTTCTAATTTCCTACTTTCATAAAATATTCATTTAAGCTCTATTCGGTTCAGTTCAGTTTAGTTTAGTTTAGTTTAGCTCCAATCAGTTCAGTTCAGTTCAGCTCAGTTCAGTAAATGTGAACAGACCTTAAATTGTTATTATTAATATTTTTTTTCCTCATTCTCAATCTTTTTCTTTCTTCCAAGGCTTCTTATAGAATAAAAATTCTCCAAAATAATTAATTTTGCAAATCTTCCTATTGACTAATAATACAAATTTGTCCTACACAAACCAATAAAATTTACTTCACATACATTTCAATTCATAAATTTTGTATTTTTATAATGCATTGATCATTATATACATTATTTTATATCTAACAAATCTTTCGAAATCCTTTAATTTGATCAAATTTTGTCAACAATGTTTTTAGATATTTTTCTTATAGTAAACTAATTATAATGTTACTTTAATAATGGATATTAATATACTCCATTATTAAAGGCCCAGGGCTGTGATCCCAGCAGCCGGCCCATATGTTTAAATTATACTCCTACTCCTAGTAGACTAGTAGTGTGATGGTTGTAGTGTTTTCCTAATAGGCTTACTACTGTATGTCTAAATTATCCTTAACGTATGTCTAATTGTTCTAAACTAATCAACATCAAATTCCTAACATAAATCTAATTATTCTAATTATCATTGAATTAATTATTCCGCATTTAAAATTTTGGGTTTATTATATATATTGTATCTATGAAGTAGAAATATTAAAATATTGATATTAATGCATCATAGTTATAAATGTTGTTTTTAGGTATATGGATTTTAATTATGCAGATCATATCTGCTTAACCTTTTGTTCAACTAAATTTATGAGGTTGTAGAGGTAGCAATGTCCGTGGAAGATCTAATTAATTGGGTTCTGAGGAGTTACAAGGACTTTTTCATATATATGAGACTATTTTGCTCTAACAACTGCTGCTATATGTTGACAAAATAATTGGACAAAAACACATTTTGCATTAAAGAAAAAAAAATATTATTAAGAATGTGAAATAAAAACACATATTCTCATTAAGGTAGGTTTAAAAGCATTTTATATGGACTCTTCATACATAGTTGACTAACTATAGGAATATATTCGTAATTATGAACGCAAAATCAAAGTACTATAAATGTATATATAATCAGCCCATACACCTTAAGCACCCCAACCAACCCCCTCACAAACCAAAGGAACCAAAAAAAATGAAGTTTCTCTTTATCGCATTTTTAGCCTCAATTCTTGTGATAACCCATGCCCAAGACAACCAAACCGAGTTCCTAGACGTGCACAACACGGCCCGTGCTCAAGTGGGAGTACCACCCCTTAAATGGAACCACACCCTAGCATTATACGCCCAAAATTTAGCCAACAAAGTGAAGCAAACATGTAATAGCACAATGTCATCTAGGGGACCTTACGGTGAAAACACGGCTTCCGGTTATGGGGCATTTACGACGGTTGATGCAGTTAACCAATGATTAGGGGAGAAGGAAAATTATGATCATCGTTTGAATGAATGTGTGAATGGTACAGAATGTAAGCATTATAAACAAGTGGTTTGGAAAAACAGCTTATATCTTGGTTGTGCTAGTATAATATTTGGTGCTGGTTGGCCCTTTGTTGTTTGTGAATATGATCCTCCTGGTAATATTAATGGTAGCCTTATTAATTACCCTTCAATTTAATTTGTAATTGTAGTAATTTGCTTATTAATGTAATTTTAATTAGGTATTGGGCTTGTAATATTGTTTACCTTAATGTCTCATTCATATGGTATGGGCTTTTATCCCAATTTGATGAA